TCGTTGTATCTCAGTGCAATGGCAATAAAATTTATTCTGTTTCTGATTCTGATTCTGACATGTTGGTGAAGGAAACAGAGGGTATGAGGAAGTGATGGGTAGGTTTTGTGTCAAGGAAAGAAACCAGGAAAGACAGATGGTGGTGGATTTTGCCAAAAGAATGGAAATAGCTATAGTCAACATCTATTTCCAAAAGAGGGAAGAATGAAAGAGTGACCTGTAAGAGAGGAGGGAGTACGCATGTTGACTACATTCTGTGTAGAAGAGGGAACCTGAGGGAGATTGGAGACTGTAAGGTTGTGGCAGGGGAGAGCGTGGCCAGACAGCATCGGATGGTTGTGTGTAGAATGACTGTTGTTGTGAAGAAGAGAAAAAGAGTAAAATCAGAGACAAAGACCAAATGGTGGAAGATGAAGAAGGAAGAATGTTGTGAGGAGTTCAGAGAGGAGCTGTTAAAGGTTCTGGGTGGTAAGACAGAGCTTCCAAATGAATGGACTACTACAGCAACAGTAATTAGAGAGACATGTAGAAAAGTACTTGGTGTGTCATCTGGACAGAGAATGGATTATAAACAAACATGGTGGTGGAATAGAGCAGTGCAGAAATCTATTCAAAGATAAAGGTTAGCCAAGAAGAAATATGACAGTGAAAAGACTGAAGAGAGGAGACAGTAATATAAGGAAATGCAATGTAGAGCAAAGAGGGAGGTGGCAAAGGCAAAGCAGAAGGTGTATAATGCGTTGTATGGGATGCAGGACAGTAAGAGTGTGAGAAGGACTTGTACCGATTGGCAAGACCGAGGGATTAGGCTGGAAAGGATGTGCAGCAGTTTAGGCTTGTTAAAGATAGGAACTGTAATGTTCTAACAAGTGAGGAGAGTGTGATGGGAAGATGTAAGGAGTACTTTGAGGAGCTAATGAATGAAGAGAATGAAAGAGAAAAAAGAGTAGAGGTTATAGAAACTGTGGACCAGGAAATGGGAAAGATTAGTGAGAGTGAAGTCCAGAAAGCTCTGAAAATAATGAAAAAGGGGAAGGCAGTACCTGATGACATACCAATGGAGGTTTGGAAAGGTCTTAAAGAGATGACAGTGTGGATTTTGACTCAGTGGCATATTTGAGGGTGATAAAATGCCTCAGGAATGGAGAAGAAGTGTGCTGGTGCCCATTTTTAAGAACAAGCGTGATGTACAGAGTTGTAGCAACTACAGGGGAATTAGGTTGAAAGTTGTTGGAAGCTAGACTTAGACAAGAAATGACTATCTGTGAGCAGCAGTATGGTTTCATGCATCTTTGTTTTGAGAATGCTGATGGAGAAGTACAGAGAAGTCAAAAAGAACTCCACTGTCTTTGTGGATTTAGAAAAAGCACATGACAAGGGTGCTGAGGGAGGAGGTGTGGTATTGCATGAGGAAATCTGGAGTGGCAGAAAAGTATGTTAGACTGGTACAGGACATGTATGAGGACAGCAGGAAAGTGGTGAGATGTGCTGTAGGAGTGAAAGATAGCTTCAAGGTGGAGGTGGGAGTGCATCAAGGATCAGCTCTGAGCCCCTTCTTGTTTGCTCTGGTGATGGACCAACTAACAGATGAGGTCAGGCAAGAATCCCCATGGACTATGATGTTTGCAGATGTCATTGTGATCTGTGGTGAGAACAGGGAACAGGTGGAAGAGAACTTGGAGAGGTGGAGGTATACACTTGAAAGAAGAAGAATGCAAGTCAGCCGTAGTAAGACAGAGTACATGTGTGTGAATGAGAGGGAGGATGGTGGATCAGTGAGGCTACAAGGAGCAGAGGTCACAAAGGTGCAGGACTTCAAGTACTTGGGGTCCACTGTCCTGGAAAATGGGGAATGTGGTAAAGAAGTGAAGAAGAGAGTCCAGGCAGGATGGAGTGGATGGAGAAAAGTTTCAGGAGTAATTTGTGACAAAAGGGTGTCAGCAAAGATCAAAGGAAAAGTTTACAAGACTTATGAGACCAGTTATGTTGTATGGTCTGGGGACAGTGGCATTGACAAAAAAAAAAAAAACCAGAAGAACTGGAAGTGGCAGAAATTAAGATGTTGATGTTAAGGTTCTCCTTAGGAGTGACAAGGCTGGGTAAGATTAGGAATGAGATCATCAGAGGTACAGCACAGGTTGAACAACTGGGAGATAAAGTTAGAGAAACCAGACTGAGATGGTTTGGACATGTTCAGAGGAGGGACAGTGGGTATATTGGTTATTATTCTAACTGTATATAATAATAATAATAATAATAACAATAATTATAATAATTCAATTCAAGCTATTTATTTTGCGCCAATTCACAACATAAGTTTTCTCAGGGCACTGCACAGAAACATTCACATACAGTTTATAAAGTCAATTAATAACATTATCATCATCATCATCATCAACTTTATTTATAAAGCACTTTATTATAAAGTCTAAGGTCTAATCTAAGGAGCCCACTTTACTGTGGGCTCCTTAGATTATTTATCTAAGGAGCCCACAGATAGCTTTGAGTTTTCACTTTGTCACAGTCTCCCATCCTAAGCGAGCACAGAGAGACAACATCCATCCATCCATCCATTTTCTTTACCCGCTTATTCCATTTTGGGTCACGGGGGTTGCTGGTGCCCATGTCCAGCAATCACTGTGCGAGGGGCGGGGTACACCCTGGACGAGTCGCAAGTCCATCACAGGGCCACATAGAGACAAACGAGACAAACAACCATTCACTCTCTCACTCACACCTAGGGACAATTTAGAGTTACCAATCAGCCTAACATGCATGTTTTTGGTCTGTGGGAGGAAACTGGAGTACCCGGAGAAAACCCACGCATGCACAGAGAGAACATGAAAACTCCACTCCCTGGACCAGGATTTGAACCAGGGCAACCTGCTCGCTGAGAGGCAGCAGCTCTACCAGTTGCCCCACTGTGCTGCCATGATGATGATGATAACAATTAGAATAATAATAATTATTATTATATATTCCTGTGTCAATCAGTGCTACATTTTTTTTTCATTTATTTATCTCTATTTTACTAAAATAAATGTGGTTTTCATTTTGTTTTAACTTACATTAATTTATTTTTCTGATTTAAGTAGAGTTTTGGTTATAGTACTGTACACTTCTTGCAACTTTATGAATTTGTGCTTTATTGTTTACTGTGTCATTTATTAAACAAACAAACAAACAAACATAAATACACAGAGTTACAGTTTAAAAACTTCAAGTAGTTATCATCAAGTGTTTCCTCATTAAGCTGTTTGTGCTTCATGAAGTTTTTCAGACTCTTCCTGGTGAAGTCACTGCAGTTAATCCTGTTGCAGCTCCTGTTTGTCCTAAATTATTCTACATGTCATTCTTTGCCTTTTTATTTTTATTATTATTTGTCTTTTTGTAAAGTTCATTTTACACTTTGCTGTATGAAATGTGTTTCACAACTGAAGTTAAGTTGTTTGTCTGCTGGTGTAAATTACAAAAAAAAATTGTCAGATAAATAATAGAGTTGTAATTAGTTGTCATGTGTAAGAGAAGGAAAGAGGAAGTTATTAAAACTAAATGTAACTGGGTTTTCACATTTAATTGAACGTGTTAAAGTCAACTCCAAACAACCACTGAATATAAATAATGTATTTGCTAAGTGCCTGGGAAAAAAACAATTCAGATATGTTCCTGTTTTGATTATTTTACATCACCTTAGCTGTTTTTGGTTACATTTTTAACAGCATTTTATTTTCACTTGCTATTGTCAATTTGTACGCATCCTTTATGAGTGTCTATTGGTGTTTTTGTTGTCTGTTGTCATCACTCTTTATTAAAATCAAGCCTCTCTTTTAAATGAGTCCTCGAGGCTCAATGGGATTAACCTGAGTAAATAAAGATTGAATGAATTCATTTAGAAGAATTCCCAGGTGAGGACATGAATCTGTGGAGAATTAAAAATGACTAAATTAAATAAATGTCACAGAAAATGACGATGATGTGCCCTTTTTTATTTACTGAAGGAAAAGCTTACTCAGTAAAACAGCATTTGGATTAAAAAAACGTGCACGTTTTGGGAAAATTAGAAATGACGCCTGTTGGTGAGTTGCACAAACTGGAGCTCCGTCTGCGCTACAGTTTACGGCCACTAGAGGGCGGTAGATGTTCACACATGAAGGCTTCCAGATGAGCTGAGGCTAAAATCTTCAGACAGTACTAACAATTAAGAATAATTTTTAAACCGACATAAAAGTTGTTCCTTAAAAATGTCAAGAAAACACGATTTGAGGATCTTAAATTGGGTGCAACACATTTTATTTCTTTCATTAGAGAGAGAAAAAAATAAATACAGCAGTTGATTCATCAAAAATCCACAAGGAGGCGCTGTGCACCGCGCAACCTACAAACATCCACACTGCAGATAAAAAGTTAAAAACAGATCTCTTTACATCGCAAATGTGGCACCGTTTGAATTTTGGATGCAGCAGAAGCGATCCTCATTTGATGATAAAAACTTCACTAGAGACTCATTCTTTCTCTTGTAGTCACCTTCTAACTGTTGATTTGCATATTCGGCTGCAGAAAGAACAGAGCAGAGGAATTCACCCTCAGGCGTTATCAGTTGAACTAGTTTTTTTTTTTTTAACTATCTCCTCCATCGCTTTTTTTTTTTTTTTTTTTTTTT